AGGGCCCATCCAAAATCCCAGAAAAATCTCAAACTTGATGAAGACGGTGTCTGAGATTTTTCTGGGATTTTGGGGGCCCTCTTGGGGCCTTCTTGGGGCCCTCCTGGAGCCATCTTGGGGCCCTCTTGCGGCCCTGCCGGACCTTCTTGGGGCCCTGCGGGAGGCCTTCGAGGGCCTTAAGAGGCCCCCAAGGGCCCCCTCCAAAATCCCCCAAAAAATCCCAGACTTGATGAAGACGGTGTCTGAGATTTTTCTGGGATTTTGGGGGGGCCCTCTTGGAGTCATCTTGGGCCCTCTTGGGGCCCTGCCGGGCCTTCTTGGGGCCCTGCGGGAGCCCTTCGAGGGCCGTACGAGGCCACTAAGGGCCCCTCCAAAATCCCAGAAAAATCTCAGACTTGATGAAGACGGTGTCTGAGATTTTTCTGGGATTTTGGGGGCCCTCTTGGGGCCTTCTTGGGGCCCTCCTGGAGCCATCATGGGGCCCTCTTGGGGCCCTGCCGGACCTTCTTGGGGCCCTGCGGGAGCCCTTCGAGGGCCTGAAGAGGTCCCCAAGGGCCCCCCACAAGATCCCAGAAAAATCTCAGACTTGATGAAGACGGTGTCTGAGATTTTTCTGGGATTTGGGGGCCCCTCTTGGGGCCTTCTTGGGGCCCTCTTGGAGCCATCTTGGGGCCCTCTTGGGGCCCGGGGTTCTCACCTTACGTTGGTGCTTCGCGGACCGTCTTCGGGCTCTCTGGGGGTCCTCTTGGCGCCCAATCCAGATCCAGCGAGCGGCGTAGGGGGAGGAGTACATCCCACCCCGAAGGGGAAGATGGGGGTTCGAAGAGAGACCGCCGTAGATCACCCACGCCCAGAGGTCTGGTGGAATTCTCGACCATACGGGGACTGGGACTTTTTGAGTTGCCATTCGAGGTTCAAGGAGATTCACTGTTGCCGCTGCGGCCGCTGCCGCTCCTTAGCTCTTGGCGCCACCCGAGGGGTCTGTCCCGCAGGGGCCCTCGTAGGGCCGTAGGGCTTCCGCCCCCTCCGCCCCCCGATGCTGTAGCCATCTTGCTTCATGGCATGTCGGCCTAAGGGTACGCGGGCCAGTTGCAGCGCCCGCGATCCGCGGGAGGGGTGTGCCGACATGGGCGTCGGGTGTCCGCGGCCTCTCGAGGTCTTCATGAGGTCTGTCCTGCAGGGGCCCTCGTAGGGCCGTAGGGCTTCCGCCCCCTCCGCCCCCCGATGCTGTAGCCATCTTGGCTCGTGGCATGTCGGCCCAAGGGTACGCGGGCCAGCTGCAGCGCCCGCGATCCGCGGGAGGGGTGTGCCGAAATCGGCGTCGGGTGTCCGCGGCGCCTCTCGAGGTCTTTGGGGGTCTGTCCTGCAGGGGCCCTCGTAGGGCCGTAGGGCTTCCGCCCTCTCTGCCCCCCGATTCTGTTGCCATTTTGGCTCGTAGCATGTCGGCTCAAGGGTACGCGAGCCAGCTGCAGCGCCCGCGATCCGCGGGAGGGGTGTGCCGACATTGGCGTCGGGTCGTTGGGCCTCTCGAGGTCTCTGGGGGTCTGTCGTGCAGGGGCCCTCGTAGGGCCGTAGGGCTTCCGCCCCCTCCGCCCCCCGATGCTGTAGCCATTTTGGCTCGTGGCATGTCGGCTCAAGGGCGCGCTGGCCAGCTGCAACGCCAGCGATCCGCGGGAGGGGTGTGCCGAAATCGGCGTCGGGTGTCCGCGGCCTCTCGGGGTCTGTGGGTGTCTGTCCTGCAGGGGCCCTCGTAGGGCCGTAGGGCTTCCGCCCCCTCCGCCCCCCGATGCTGTAGCCATTTTGGCTCGTGGCATGTCGGCTCAAGGGTACGCGAGCCAGCTGCAGCAGGAGCACTGATAACGGCTTGGCGTTTGGTTTCGCTCTCACTCTGAGCTTGCGGTCGCTCTCCTACCACTACTAATCCTACTAGTCGTTCCAGTACTACTACTGCTACTGCTACTACTACTACTACTACTACTACTACTACTACTACTACTACTACTACTACTACTACTACTACTGCTACTACAACTACTACTGGATTCGTAGGAAAACCAACACTTTTTAAACAATTCTGTCAAACGGGCTTTTGCGAGCAACTTTTTCGAACTTCTGCTACAACGTTTGCGCACCTGCCAGGGCCATCATCCCTGTCAAATAATACCATGCGGGACACATTCGTTTTTTCTTCGCGCGCGCACGCCGTCGTCGTCGGCCGCGCGGCCCTGAATAATAGCCACGGTCGTCCGCATGCCACGAAGTGAAGTGTCCGAACGTCATAGGGCGGGAAGCTGGGTGTGGGTGGTAGCGAAGAGTCGTTTGGAAATTTGGTAGAGCTTGAACCGGCCCCCCCACAAAGTGGGGGTATTGCCCGCCTCCTATGAAAAACCCTGGCACTGGTGAGAACGGAGTGTCCCCACGTGCTAGTAATTGTTGTTGTTGTTGTTGTTGTTGTTGAACATTATTAATTCTAAAGAATAATTATTGTTGGGACCCCTGGTGCACGGCCCCCCCGCCGCGCCTAGGCCGCTGCTACATTTTCATCATTTTTTCGCGAAAGCTTCAGAAAAGTGGATGGGGTCCAGATCCGGTTGTTTTGTTGTAATCCGTTTTCCCTTGCAAAAAACACTATAAAATGACATTTCTTGTTCTAATATAATCAAATTTCAAGAATCCCTGGCAAAAAATAAGGTAAAGTGGACATTCGCGCGCGCAAGACGAAATCCTTCCAAAAGCTTAGTGTTCGGAGCGATTTTAACAAAAAAACATCAAAAAACCAATGGTTTTTCAACAAAAAAATGTCAAAATCTCATCCCGCGCGCTCTTGCGGATTCGTAGGAAAACCAACACTTTTTTAAACATTTCTGTCAAACGGGCTTTTGCGTGCAACTTTTTCGAACTTCTGCGACAACGGTTGCGCACCTGCCAGGGCCATCATCCCTGTCAAATAATACCATGCGGGACAGATTCGTTTTTTCTTCGCGCGCGCACGCCGAAATCTCCAAAAACCATTGGGTTCTTAAGAATTTTAGCACCACGCCAGTGTAGTAGCCACGGTCGTCCGCAGGCCACGAAGTGAAGTGTCCGAACGTCATAGGGCGGGAAGCTGGGTGTGGGTGGTGGCGAAGAGTCGTGTGGATATTTGGTAGAGCTTGCACTGCCCCCCCACAAAGTGGGGGTATTGGCTGGCGTCGCATGAAAACCCTGGCACTGGTGAGAACACTGAGCGTTCGGGTAAAGTGATTGTTGTTGTTGTTGTTGTTGTTGTGACGGGTGCCCGGCCCGGTGCCCGGGCGGGTGCCCGGGTGCCCGGTAGCCCTATAGCCCATATAGCCATGTAGCCATATAGCCCATATAGCGCCGAAGAGCCCATATAGCCTTGTAGCCCTATAGCCCTACAGCCCTAAAAAGATTATGGGTGGGGTTTTTCTCTGGTATCATTGCGTTGAGCGGTCCAATGCACAGTCGCCTCACGTGTACAAAGGGTTGGGAACGTCCCTGGGTAACTGGGTAATTTCGGGACGCTTCCGTGACCAGCCCGCTGTTGGGGGGCCGCCGAACAACCCCCAGAGCGATCAGACAGCCATCCCGACGGCCCAGGACTGCCTCGAGCTATCCGTAGCCAAGTTGGCTCAAGACATTCTTTCTCCGAACCATTGGTGGACCACCCAAGCTCAGTCAACACCTACCCACACTCTTGCGAGCTCACGCTTGCGAGCACTCCACATTCTTTCCGCACGCGCTTTTTATAGCCCATGTCGGCTGTAAAATCCTGCGTCGCAGCGGCCATCCGATTCGTTCTGTCAGCTCACGGTTTGATCGTCGTGACGGGTCGCATGGCCTCCGATGTGCAGTTGATCCAGGCACGCGTCGTGGACCAGCACAGCTCAAGCTTGCCACCCGACATAATGTTTGGAGGACAAGGCAGTGGCACCAAGCGCGCCGATGTCGTCGGGTGTGTCGACGACGATGAGGGCGCCGTCAGATTTGCAAATCATTACGCCCGGTCAAACGATGTCGGCGGTTGCGCGGATGTCGGCCCGTATTGTGAGAAAGGGAATTTCACCAGCAAACTTCACGAGCTGTGTTGCGCTACGTGCGGTGACGTCGTGAAGGAGAATCCGCATCTGCACAAGTGCACAGATCATTCCTCGTGTCGGAGCGGGGCGTTCTGTTATGATGGCGTGTGCGACAGCTGCAGCCACTGCGAATTCTGCTCCGATGCGGCGTACGCAGACGAGTGTGGGCATTGCGGGCCAGGGTTTCCTACGCAGGAGTCAGAACCTTGTCATTCACAGGTTACCTATGGACCACTCTATGTCGTGCATGCGTGGGCCAACCTGTCCTCTGAGGAGGAGCTGGTGCATCTTGAAAAGATGTTTGGCGACCTCGACAAGGACGCATCCTCGACCCTCGACGTGGACGAGCTCATCGGCACCTTGATTGGACAGGACCTCGTCGCGCTCGAGGCCGCCATGGGCACGCTGCACGTCGACCTGGACAGCGTGAAGCTTCCCAGGGGCTCGGTGCAGGAGTTTGTGGAGAAGCACAGCAAGACCGGCTCCGCGTTCCTGACCCTCGGCGAGTGGCTCGGCGCGAGGGCGCCGCCGGCATCTGATGGCCGGGCCGTCGCGCCGGTCGCGACGAGCAGCTCGTGTTCTTTGTCGACGATCGTCTCTGTTGCAAGCACATGCACCGTCTCGCAGGCCGCGGAGACCTGCGGGTCCGTATGCGCCAACGCCTGCAACTCCTGCCGGAGGGTGGCAGCGCACCCGAACTCGAGCTCCGTGGCGCGGGCGCCTCAGGAGCTCGAGAAGTGGTGGTGGTATTATTATTACGACGACACGCGCCGTAGGCGTCGTTGGGTTGACGTCATCACAGATGTTGTAGATGATGTTGTCTGCACAGTGTCTTGTACATAGGAATGTGCGTGGACTTGCACTACTCAATTTGTAGATGTAGTGGTCGACTGCGTTGTCGATACGGTTGTGAATACGGTAATGGCATTTGGAGATTGTGTGTCAGTTGTGGTTGATAACGTCATGGAATCATGCGGTCATGAATTGATCCCCACAGAATGTTCTGGCACGTGGGATTGCTTTACGCAGGCCGCGAGTAGCGCTCTCGACTTCTTCATTTGCGGATTCCCGATTATTCTCGATTCAGTATTGACAATGTATGGGGCCAACTGTCTTCCAAACGTCGTAGACGGCATAAAGGACGCCCTGTTCCCTCCCGAAATTATTGTTCAAACTGCAGTTGTGGAGGCAATCATGGATTTCGGTGACGCGGTTTACGATGGGATCTATGAAGCAAGTCTAACGGTGGCGTCGACCCTAGATTGGTGTTGGGACGACGCTCCCTCTGCCGAGTTCACTGACTGCGACGCCTTCGAAATGGTAGCAAGTATTGTTTCGTAGGACGTGACTGACATTTTCGGGATGGCGTCCAGATTCTCGGATGCCGTGACGGCGGTGAATGACTGCGTAGGGAAGACTACAAATCTCCCAGGGATTGGTGACATTCCGACCCCCTTCCTGAACGTTGTTTGGCAAGGAGGCGTTCCGTGGTGTGCCCCAACATACGTAGTAAGTACGGCGAGTGCAGTCGTCGGTGCGTTCCAGTACATAACAGGAGGACGGATGCTTGATGACCTCATCATTGTGGGCGATAGCCTCTTGACTAAACTCCAGCAGAGGCTGGAGGCAGTGTTCTGTGACGGCGGCGACGTCACCATAAACTTGGGAGCCGAACTCTCGATGTCGTACTTTGTGCTTGGAATCACGGTTGCGGCTGGATGTGAGGAAGGCCATTTCAACGCTCATGTAATTGGCTTTGCCACGGGCAGAATTCCGATCCTCTCGACGCCGTTTAATCCAGTGCCCATGGTCGATGGAGTGTTCAGCATTAAGTGTGACAAGGGGCCGAATCCTCCGAGCTGGTCGTATTGGGGGTCTGCTCTTGGCGCTATGCTTGCGCTTGGCCCTTTCAAGGCTGCCGTGTCTCTGCCGCTCTGGCCAGAATTCAGTCTCCAGCTTGGCTACACTTTCAAGGTGACCCTGATTCCCCCGCCGCTGCGTCGAGCCCAAACAGCAGCCACCGAGCCAGAGCTGGAGGGGCCGAAGTCGGTGCTGCCCGTGCTAAAGTCTCTGTCCAGGGCCGTCTCCGACCCCGGCTTCGGGAGCGAGCTGCCAGACCCCAAGCCTATTCTGGACGGGGTCCGCAACGGATCGCTCCAGAGGGCCGAGCTCGACTGGGACCTCGGCGCCAGGATCTTCATCACCGTAACCAAGAACTTCTGTTTCACGTGCGACGATTGGGGGGAGGAGCCTGCTTGGGTCACGGGCCTCGTCGGCATGGCCACCCCGTACATATGCCAAATGAGTGGGGCGATGGCGGGATCCTCCTGGGGTGCGCTGACTCGCGCCCAGTGCTTCGCCGCGGTGGCAGCTTGGGAGCAGAGCGGCAACTCTTGCGAGATTTTGTATACCGACGCGCCACACGACGGCAGCTTGGGAACCGCGTGTGCTTGCATGCCTGACGACGCGATGACGTCGGGGGTCTGTTCTGAACAGGCTGGAGCCAGGGCTAGTGAGGGGTCGTCCAACTTCCAGGTCTTCCGGAATCAGAGATACACCTGTGAGACTGGGAGCGGAATCGCGTGCAAGAGCTGTGTCTCGCCACAATCGCGATTGGCGCAAGACCATTGCGAGACCTGCAACGATGGCTTTCAGCTGGCCGGCTACTCGTGTACGCCGGCCGGTCCGACGCCAAGCCCGACGCCAAGTCCGCCGACGCCCAGCCCGACGCCCAGCCCGACGCCCCGCCCAACGCCCAGCCCGACGCACAGCACCCCATCTGGTCGGCCTGGTGCCTGGTCGCAGGCCGTGTGCAAGACTTATTGCGGCGATAATGGGAACTCAGGGCCCATGTTCCAGGCGCCATCTGTGACGCCCGCGGGCGTGACCGGAATGCAATGGGCGCGTCAGCCGAACAACAATGCTGATGCAACTTACGGATGCATTGTCCGCAGCGTCGACGGCGGCGTGGGAAATTTCTGGACATCTGTGCTTTGGTACTCGACCGAGTGTTCGGCTGGATCCGATACCAATTTCGGCTCCACGACCCCGGAGTCGCCAACGAACATAGGTGAACTATGGTATGCGGTGCATGGATGTCCCAGCAATGGTCACACTGAGGTATGCGTGCGCGCCAGATACTTCTTCCAGACGCCCAGCCCGACGCCCTACCCGACGTCGAGCCCGACGCCAAGTCCGCCGACGCCCAGCCCGACGCCCTACCCACCCGACCCGTCTGGTGGGTGCCAGACGTGGGACTTGAGTGGCTGGTATGCCGGTACGTATACTACGGTGTTGCAGCCATGGAGTTCGCCGAATGGGAATGCCTGGACGTGGGCTCAGTGCGCAGCGGAATGCGCTATGTCTGCTACGTGCGAGTTCTGGACGCTGCAACTCAATGGTGACCAGAATTGCCTGTTAATGTCTAACATTGGCGACTATAAGGACGTGGGGGGCCATTATTCAGGCGTGAAGATGACAGGCTGCGCGCCGACACCCTCCCCGTCGCCCAACCCCACGCCCAGCCCCACGCCCAGCCCGACGCCCTACCCGACGCCAAGTCCGCCGACGCTCAGCCCGACGACAAGCCCGACGCCCAGCCCGACGTTAAGCCCGACGACGCCCAGCCTGACGCCAAGTCCGCCGACGCTCAGCCCGACGACAAGTCCGACGCCCAGCCCGACGTTAAGCCCGACGACGCCCAGCCCGACGCCCAGCCCGACGCCCAGCCCGACACCCAGCCCGACGACGCCAGGCCCGACGCCAATTCCGACGCCCACTGTCAAGCAAGACATACGGGTCGAGTATACCTCGGATGAAACTCTTCCAGATGGCGTGACTGCGTCAGACCTCATGGCTTCTACTGTCTATACAGCGGCTAAGATATCCGGCTTTCGTAAGGCGCTATTTGTGCCCAACTCTGTCGACGCTGCCATTATTGGGTTCGCCTTGGTTGGTCGTCGGATTCCCGCGGATGCCCGCCAGCGGTCGAGCATAACAGTCTCTGTGAAGACCGCAATCAAGGTGACCGTCCCCGACATCAGCATTGCCGCCATCTTCTCTACCAAGATTGGTGAAGCTGCTACCGCCATCGCAGCCGAGACTGAGAGTGCAATGGCTGCTGCTGACTGGAGCAGTGAACCGGTATGGACTTCGGTCCCTACGGTGACGTCCCTCGTCGTGACCGCTGCCGCTGTGACTGCGGCGCCAGCTGGCGCTGCTGTCGCGGCCACAGGTGACCCGCACCTGCAGAACATCTTCGGGCAGCGCTTCGACCTGATGAGGGCTGGCAGACATGTCCTGATCCAGATCCCGAGGGGCGCGGGCAGTGAGGGCACCCTGCTTCGCGTCGAGGCGGAAGCGGAGAGTCTCGGGACACATTGCAGTGAGATGTATTTCCAAGAGGTGAACCTTACTGGCAAATGGGTAGAAAGGAAGCATCTCGGTGGCCTCCAGTTCCGCGCAGCGGACGACGTCACCGAGACGCCCAAGTGGTTGCGCTTTGGGAGCGTTGACCTCAAACTGGTGCACGGACGTACGCTGACTGGCGTCAGGTTCCTCAATCTGTACGTCAAACGATTGGGGAGCACAGGAATAAGTGTCGGAGGTTTGCTGGGGATGGACGATCACAGCCAGGAATCAACTCCGTCCACAGGCTGCATCCGAGAACTGAATCTGGTGAGGTCGCCTAGCTCGCCTAATTCACGTGACGTTCCCGTCGCGGCCGCTGCACAGGATTAGAATTCTGATCACCGACCGGGGGAGCACATCGACTCCTGTCCTCCTCTTCTCCTTCTGGGGCCGCCTGGTTCGGCAGCGAATGCTGCCCCCGTGAACTCTGCGCGAGGCAGCCATGCAGTTGCAAGCCCGCTTCCCTCCAACGAAAGCCTTTTTCCCTAAAATTGAAAGGGTGTGCAAGGCGTGATCGGTAGTTCTGATCACCGTTTTGAGGGACATTTTGAATCTCGTCCTCCTCTTCTCCTTCTGGGGCCGCCTGGTTCGGCAGCGAATGCTGCCCCGTGAACTCTGCGCGAGGCAGCCATGCAGTTGCAAGCCCGCTTCCTTCCAAAAAAAGCCTTTTCCCTAAAATTGAAAGGGTGTGCAAGGCGTGATCGGTTTATAGACTTAATGAGGAAACGACTTGATAGCGTCCTCCGAGTGACCAGTTGACGGTCCCGTCGCGGCCGCTGCGTAGGATGAGGCTCGGATCAAGTTCATTCATCCTCATGCGGAGACGGTTCTTCTCCAAACTGATTCTTGGACTGGCACGAAAGTTCTGATCACCGTTTTGAGGGACATATTGAATCTCGTCCTCCTCTTCTCCTTCTGGGGCCGCCTGGTTCGGCAGCGCATGCTGCCCCCGTGAACTTTGCGCGAGGCTGATCTGCAGTCGCAATCCCACCCGAACTACCCCCAAAAAAGCCTCCTGGGGGCTCCGACGGCCCAAGAAGCTTTCCATACTGCCCAAGAGGCCCCCAAGACGGCCCAAGAAGGTTCCAAGAGGACCCGGGTGTGTGCCCAGACAGGCCAACACTCATTACTGTCCATGAGTTTTTGAACGATTTTTGCGTGCAAGCCTTCTCGGCCTTCGAACGCTCCAAGCTCAAAGACGGCTCAAGAGTCTTGAAGATGCGCCCCAGACCGCCCCAAGACTGCCCGAAAGGCCCCCAAGAAACCCCTCGGAGGCCTCGATGGGAGCCCCAAGACAACCCGAGAGGACCCCAGACGGCCCAAGAGACCCCCCATGACGGCCCAACGGCAGAGCGGCCCCATGAGGGGCCCAAGAGGGGGAACACGAACCCACAATTCCAGCCTTACGCCCTCACAGGCCCTCAGGAAGCCCTAAGAGGCCCCGAAGAGGCGCCATGAGGCCCCCAAGAGGCCTTCCAGTGGCCCCAAGAGGCCCCCACGAGGCCCGAAAGAGGCTCCCAGAGGCTTCCAACAAGGTGCCAACGAACACCCCAGAGGCCTCTGAAACACAGCCCCGGCACCTTGGCAGGATAGTCCGAACCGTGCGCAGCGTCCTGATTGTGGTTTGTCTGGTCTCCTTCCCCCCTCCCTCCTCCTTCTCCTGGTTCCGTGGTCTCTCTCGTTCATCTCATGGGGTGGCTCCCCACCTCACCCCCTCCATATGACATCGTCTATGTCGCGAGTCAGGGAATAGAGCAAAACAGGGCACAACATATATCAAACCATTACAAAACACACAGGTCAATGTTCATGGAGTGCCACAGGCCAGTTATCCTGGAGGATTCCTTCCTCCTCCTCCTCCTCCTCCTCTTCCTCCCCCTCCTCCTCCCTCCTCCCTCCTCCTCCTCCTCTTCCTCCTCATCCTCCTCCTCTTCCTGCTCCTCCTCCTCCTCCTCCTCGTCCTCCTCCTCCCCCTCCCCCTCCTCCTCCTCCTCCTCCTCCTCCTCCTCCTCCTCCTCCTCCTCCTCCTCTTCCTCCTCCTCCTCCTCCTCCTCCTCCTCATCTCCCCCGCCTCCCTCCTCCCTCCTCCTCCTCCTCCTCCTCTCAGTCCCCCCTCCTCCTCCTATCTCCCCTCCCTTCCTCCTCCTCCTCCTCCTCCTCCTCCTCCTCCTCTCCTCCTCCTCCTCCTCCTCCCTCCTCTTCCTCCTTCCTACTCCTCCTCCTCCTCCATCCTCCTCCTCCTCCTCCTCCTCCTCTCTCCTCCCTCCTCCTCCTCCCCCTCCTCCTCCTCCTCCTCCTCCTCCTCCTCCTGAAAAGAGTGGAATCACGATTTCTAAAGATTTAAATCGCGATGTTCAACTTCTTCCTTCGTCTTCCAAAGTAGAATAACGAAATCGTGATTTCCATCTTTATACACAGACTACATCATTGTAAGTTTTACATCTTCTTTTCGCAATTCCCAACTTACCCACCGCGGCGGCGTTTTGAATCGTGATTTCAATCCATCGGCGCCCCCCGCTTGCCCATCGCGGCGGCGTTTTGAATCGCGATTTCAATCCATCGGCGCCCCCCGCTTGCCCACCGCGGCGGCGTTTTGAATCGCGATTTCAGTCCATCGGCGCCCCCCGCTTGCCCACCGCGGCGGCGTTTTGAATCGCGATTTCAATCCATCGGCGCCCTAAGCTACTCTGCGCTACCGCTCTGTGGGGTTTTGTTTCCGTGGCCTGTGGTGTTTCTTTCCGTGGTTCCGTTTCCGTGTCGTTTCCGTGGTTCTGTTTCCGTGGCTTCTGGGGGCCGTGGCCTTTGGGGGCTCGGTTTCCGTGGCTTCTGGGGGCTTGGTTTCCGTGGCTTCTGGGGGTTCGGTTTCCGTGGCTTCTGGGGGCTCGGTTTCCGTGGCACATTGGGGCTCGGTTTCCGTGGCTTCTGGGGGTTAGGTGTCCGTGGCTTCTGCTGTGGGCTCGGTTTCCGTTGCTTTTGTTGGGGGCTCGGTGTCCGTGGCCTCTGGGGGCTCGGTTTCCGTGGCTTCTGGGGGCTTGGTTTCCGTGGCTTTTGGGGGTTCGGTTTCCGTGGCCTTTGGGGGTTCGGTTTCCGTGGCACATTGGGGCTTGGTTTCCGTGGCCCCTGGGGGTTCGGTTTCCGTGGCCTTTGTTGGGTGCTCGGTTTCCGTGGCTTCTGCTGGGGGTTCGGTTTCCGTGGCCTTTGCTGGGGGCTCGGTTTCCGTGGCCTCTGCTGGGGGCTCGGTTTCCGTGGCCTTTGCTGGGGGCTCGGTTTCCGTGGCCTCTGCTGTGGGCTCGGTTTCCGTGGCTTCTGCTGGGGGCTCGGTTTCCGTGGCCTTTGCTGGGGGCTCGGTTTCCGTGGCCTCTGCTGTGGGCTCGGTTTCCGTGGCTTCTGCTGGGGGCTCGGTTTCCGTTGCCTTTGATAGGGGGCTCGGTGTCCGTCGCTTTCACGACCCAGAGCTTGCGACGATCATGGAAGATATTGATATCCAGTGACATTCGGGCTCTTTCTTTCGGGTCGTCTTCGAGTTCTGGGAGTCTTCGTTTTGAGGGCCCGTCGGAATGAGGACGAGGTGGGGGCCTCTTGGATCCGTCTTGGGGCCCTCTTGGAACCTGGGGCCCTCTTGGATCCGTCTTGGGGCCCTCTTGGAGCCGCCTTGGGGCCGTCTTGGATCTTTGTCAAGGCCTTGGGCAAGGGCCCAAGAGAGCTCCAAGACGGCTCCAAGAGGGCCCCACGAGGGGGGGGGGAAAAACAAAACAAAGCACAAGGGGGGGTCCATATCAAAACCTGTATTGTGTTTTTTTGTGTTTTGTTTTGGCCCTCGTGGGGCCCTCTGGGTGCCTTCCTGGGGCCGTCTTGAGCCCCCTTGGGCCCCCATGAGGCTCCAAGAGGCCCTCTTGGGGCCCCAAGAAGGCCCCAAGAGGGCCTCTCATATGATCGATGATTCCGTGGATGCGTTGAAGTCGTCCCTGGGGGCGGCGGTCGGTGGTACCCGACTTGCTGGCGAGTCTCAGAGATTGGCTCCCGCATAGAAGGTCGTGGATGGGCACGTGTTGAAGGGGGCAGCCGAGGGCAGGGACGGGGGGCAGGAGGAGGGCCCAGGGGGGCGGGCAGGAGGAGGAGGAGGAGGAGGAGGAGGGGGAGGAGGAGGGGGAGGAGGAGGCGGAGTGCGAAGGGACAGGTAGGAGGAGGAGGGGGACGAGGAGGAGGAGGAGGAGGAGGAGGGAGGGAGGAGAAGGATACGGAGGTCAGGGTATCGCAGGGTCCTTACAAGGGTATTGCAGGGTATTGCAGGGTCGTTAACAGGGTATTGCCGGGTGTTGCGCGGTGTTTGCAGGCTCTTTACAAGGGGGTCGTTGCATGGGTCTTTGCTGGGGGCTTGCATGATGGATGCCGGGGTTTTTTGCATGGCGGATTTGCAGGCCATTGCAGGGGGTCCAGGGGAGAGGGTAGGGAGAGGGGATGGGTCGATAAGAGGGTCCAGGGGAGCCCAGGGGAGAGGGTAGGGAGAGGGCAAGGGAGCAGGGGTCCAGGGGAGAGGGTAAGGAGAGGGCACGGAGAGGGGGAACAAAAAAGCAGGGTCGGGGACGGATTGGGGGCGGCGGCGGGGCACATGAAAGGTAGTCTTGAAGCCCTGGATTCATATCCGTCTCTAGCTTGTTTCCACTTCCTGTTTGCCGTTGCTCGTGCCGCTGCTCTCCCCTGCTCTCTTAGGCCTGCCGCAGCTGTGTGCACTTCCTGCTTGTGCTGCTCCCCTGTCTGCAGCTCCTGTTGCCTCTCGGCCAATTATGGAATAACCCTACTGCAGCTTCGCTGCTTATGTGCCTCAGGACCCGCCGCGCGCGCTCCTCTGCTGAGCCTCCTTGGGCTTTCGGAGGTGGGACCTCTGGGCTCCTCTTGGAGCCCTCTTGAGCCCTCCAAGCAGCGCTTGGGCCCCAGAAGTGAACGATACCGAACACCACAATATATTCAGATGACCATGGCGATCTGAATATCTTTTCCGACCGTCTTGGAGCCCTGCTGAGCTCTCTTGGGGCCTTCTTGGAGTCATCTTGGGCCCTCTTGGGGCCCTGCCGGGCCTTCTTGGGGCCCTGCGGGAGCCCGTCGAGGGCCTTAAGAGGCCCCTAAGGGCCCCTCCAAAATCCCAGAAAAATCTCAGACTTGATGAAGACGGTGTCTGAGATTTTTCTGGGATTTGGGGGGCCCTCTTGGGGCCTTCTTGGGGCCCTCTTGGAGCCATCTTGGGCCCTTTTGGGGCCCTGCCGGACCTTCTTGGGGCCCTGCGGGAGCCCTTCGAGGGCCTTAAGAGGCCCCTAAGGGCCCCTCCAAAATCC